CATTTGGAGGTCAAACGAGTCAGCATGGATGGCAGAGGAAATATTTATTGATTGGTTTAAGCATCACTTTATTCCTGAAGTCAAGTTTTTCCTGCACAGCAAGAACCTTGCATTCAAGGCTCTCTTCATTCTTGATAATTCCCATACTCATCCACAAGCTTTGCTGGATGTGACCCCACATTTAAAAGTTGTATTTTGACAATCATTGGATCGGGGAGTTATTAAGTCATTCAAGTGTAACTACACAAAAAAAAGTTATGATAAAAGTAGTTGCATCAATGGACTCTGACTCCAACCTGGCAGTACCAAGCTTCTGGAATAAATTTAACATTGCAGATGCCATCAGCTATGCTAGAAGGGCATGGAATGAAGTGCCCCAATCAACATTAAATGCAGGCCAGGGAAAGTTATGGCCTTCTGTAGTTAATTCTTTCACTTGTTTTCCCTTGCTTGAGAGTCAGGTTCAGGAAATTGCTCAGCTGGCAAGGAAATTACCAGGTGATGGTTTTGAAGATATGAATGAGCTCTTAGATGATGATGATGAAGACAGGAGTCCTGAGGAAATGTTGGCAGAGCCTGGATGCACAGATACAAGGGAGGAAGATAACAGAAGATGAAGAACCAGAAGAAAAACAGTTAACATTGCAGCAGTTACGTGAGCAGCTCCATGTTGCTGCTAAACTAGCAGACTTTTTCACTGAAGAGGACACTGACAAATCTAGAAGCAGTGCTTTGAAACAGGGTCTAGACCAACTGATGATGCCTTACCGTCAGCTGTATAATGTACTGCAGGGTAAAAGAGCCCAGAGATCCATTACAGAATTTATGCACACTCCAATACAACCATCGACTTCAGTACCAGAACCTCTACCATCCACTTCTGCTGACAACCAACAATCATCCACCTCAGCCCAGTAGGGCCACACATCCATATCCACTCTCTTCACAATCATCCACAAACACCATTACCCACAATTTAAGGTAAGAAATACTATTATTTCTAATGCATTTATAGTCTTAAGCAGTAATATATCATGACAATGCCCTACAATTACATTTTTTTATTTTTATTATCACACTGGCCGATTCCCACCAAGGCAGGGTGGCCCGAAAAAGAAAAACTTTCACCATCATTCACTCCATCACTGTCTTACCAGAAGGGTGCTTTACACTACAGTTTTTAAACTGCAACATTAATACCCCTCCTTCAGAGTGCAGGCACTGTACTTCCCATCTCCAGGACTCAAGTCCGGCCTGCCGGTTTCCCTGAACCCCTTCATAAATGTTACTTTGCTCACACTCCAACAGCACGTCAAGTATTAAAAACCATTTGTCTCCATTCACTCCTATCAAACACGCTCACGCATGCCTGCTGGAAGTCCAAGCCCCTCGCACACAAAACCTCCTTTACTCCCTCTCTCCAACCTTTCCTAGGCCGACCCCTACCCCGCCTTCCTTCCACTACAGACTGATATACTCTTGAAGTCATTCTGTTTTGCTACATTCTCTCTACATGTCCGAACCACCTCAACAACCCTTCCTCAGCCCTCTGGACAACAGTTTTGGTAATCCCGCACCTCCTCCTAACTTCCAAACTACGAATTCTCTGCATTATATTCACACCACACATTGCCCTCAGACATGACATCTCCACTGCCTCCAGCCTTCTCCTCGCTGCAACATTCATCACCCATGCCTCACACCCATATAAGAGCGTTGGTAAAACTATACTCTCATACATTCCCCTCTTTGCCTCCAAGGACAAAGTTCTTTGTCTCCACAGACTCCTAAGTGCACCACTCACTCTTTTCCCCTCATCAATTCTATGATTCACCTCATCTTTCATAGACCCATCCACTCCCAAATATCTGAATACATTCACCTCCTCCATACTCTCTCCCTCCAATCTGATATCCAATCTTTCATCACCTAATTTTTTTGTTATCCTCATAACCTTACTCTTTCCTGTATTCACCTTTAATTTTCTTCTTTTGCACACTCTACCAAATTCATCCACCAATCTCTGCAACTTCTCTTCAGAATCTCCCAAGAGCACAGTGTCATCAGCAAAGAGCAGCTGTGACAACTCCCACTTTGTGTGTGATTCTTTATCTTTTAACTCCACGCCTCTTGCCAAGACCCTCGCATTTACTTCTCTTACAACCCCATCTATAAATATATTAAACAACCACGGTGACATCACACATCCTTGTCTAAGGCCTACTTTTACTGGGAAAAAATTTCCCTCTTTCCTACATACTCTAACTTGAGCCTCACTATCCTCGTAAAAACTCTTCACTGCTTTCAGTAACCTACCTCCTACACCATACACTTGCAACATCTGCCACATTGCCCCCCTATCCACCCTGTCATACGCCTTTTCAAAATCCATAAATGCCACAAAGACCTCTTTAGCCTTATCTAAATACTGTTCACTTATATGTTTCACTGTAAACACCTGGTCCACACACCCCCTACCTTTCCTAAAGCCTCCTTGTTCATCTGCTATCCTATTCTCCGTCTTACTCTTAATTCTTTCAATAATAACTCTACCATACCCTTTACCAGGTATACTCAGCAGACTTATCCCCCTATAATTTTTGCACTCTCTTTTATCCCCTTTGCCTTTATAGAAAGGAACTATGCATGTTCTCTGCCAATCCCTAGGTACCTTACCCTCTTCCATACATTTATTAAATAATTGCACCAACCACTCCAAAACTATATCCCCACCTGCTTTTAACATTTCTATCTTTATCCCATCAATCCCGGCTGCCTTACCCCCTTTCATTTTACCTACTGCCTCACGAACTTCCCCCACACTCACAACTGGCTCTTCCTCACTCCTACAAGATGTTATTCCTCCTTGTCCTATACACGAAATCACAGCTTCCCTATCTTCATCAACATTTAACAATTCCTCAAAATATTCCCTCCATCTTCCCAATACCTCTAACTCTCCATTTAATAACTCTCCTCTCCTATTTTTAACTGACAAATCCATTTGTTCTCTAGGCTTTCTTAACTTGTTAATCTCACTCCAAAACTTTTTCTTATTTTCAACAAAATTTGTTGATAACATCTCACCCACTCTCTCATTTGCTCTCTTTTTACATTGCTTCACCACTCTCTTAACCTCTCTCTTTTTCTCCATATACTCTTCCCTCCTTGCATCACTTCTACTTTGTAAAAACTTCTCATATGCTAACTTTTTCTCCCTTACTACTCTCTTTACATCATCATTCCACCTATCGCTCCTCTTCCCTCCCGCACCCACTTTCCTGTAACCACAAACTTCTGCTGAACACTCTAACACTACATTTTTAAACCTACCCCATACCTCTTTGACCCCATTGCCTATGCTCTCATTAGCCCATCTATCCTCCAATAGCTGTTTATATCTTACCCTAACTGCCTCCTCTTTTAGTTTATAAACCTTCACCTCTCTCTTCCCTGATACTTCTATTCTCCTTGTATCCCATCTACCTTTTACTCTCAGTGTAGCTACAACTAGAAAGTGATCTGATATATCTGTGGCCCCTCTATAAACATGTACATCCTGAAGTCTACTCAACAGTCTTTTATCTACCAATACATAATCCAACAAACTACTGTCATTTCGCCCTACATCATATCTTGTATACTTATTTATCCTCTTTTCTTAAAATATGTATTACCTATAACTAAACCCCTTTCTATAGAAAGTTCAATCAAAGGGCTCCCATTATCATTTACACCTGGCACCCCAAACTTACCTACCACACCCTCTCTAAAAGTTTCTCCTACTTTAGCATTCAGGTCCCCTACCACAATTACTCTCTCACTTGGTTCAAAGGCTCCTATACATTCACTTAACATCTCCCAAAATCTCTCTCTCTCCTCTGCATTCCTTTCTTCTCCAGGTGCATACACGCTTATTATGACCCACTTCTCGCATCCAACCTTTACTTTAATCCACATAATTCTTGAATTTACACATTCATATTCTCTTTTCTCCTTCCATAACTGATCATTCAACATTACTGCTACCCCTTCCTTTGCTCTAACTCTCTCAGATACTCCAGATTTAATCCCATTGATTTCCCCCCACTGAAACTCCCCTACCCCCTTCAGCTTTGTTTCGCTTAGGGCCAGGACATCCAACTTCTTTTCATTCATAACATCAGCAATCATCTGTTTCTTGTCATCCGCACTACGTCCACGCACATTCAAGCATCCCAGTTTTATAAAGTTTTTCTTCTTCTCTTTTTTAGTAAATGTCTACAGGAGAAGGGGTTACTAGCCCATTGCTCCCGGCATTTTAGTCGCCTCATACGACACGCATGGCTTACGGAGGAAAGATTCTTTTCCACTTCCCCATGGACAATAGAAGAAATAAAGAAGAACAAGAGCTATTTAGAAAAAGGAGAAAAACCTAGATGTATGTATATATATATGCATGTGCGTGTCTGTGAAGTGTGACTAAAGTGTAAGTAGGAGTAGCAAGATATCCCTGTTATCTAGCGTGTTTATGAGACAGAAAAGGAAACCAGCAATCCTACCATCATGCAAAACAGTTACAGGTTTCTGTTTCACAGTCATCTGGCAGGATGGTAGTACTTCCCTGGGCGGTTGCTGTCTACTAACCTACTACCTACTACAATTACATATTCACTTTTATTTTGTAAGATCTGGAGGTCTAAAAAAAAGTTGTTTGGCTTTTTGGGGGCTCCCAGGAACGCAACCCTATTTTTCCCATAAGTTCTTCAGTTTGCCTAACATGGCTTTGCCTGACAATTCATTTTCAGGAACATAACTACCGTGTTAAACGACAGTCTACTGTATTTGAAAATGAAAAGGCAGCTATGATTCACTTTAAAGAAATTTTAGCTTTACAGCAGTAGCCCAGAACCTAACCTGCTGTATAAGAGGGGCCTGCCTGTATGTGATGCAAATACTGGACAGAAAGTATTCTCAGTTATCCTAATCTTACTTAATAAGTATTTAAACATTTTACTTACACATTGTCTTTGATATGCTCATTTGCCTGATAGTAACCCGCTATTACCAATCCCTCCGACTTGTAACGCTGTTCAATCTGAAAAACAAAAGCAATGGTAAAAACATTTGCTGAATAAAAAGTGTCAACAACTGTCAACCAAGAATAAATGATCATGCAAAAGAAAATTTCAGAAAGCAGAGTTTTATGATATGAGAATGCTTCTAGTACTGATATTCTCAATTATGCCATCACATGACATAACTCCATTAGTCCACTAAGACAATAATATCCATGTACCTTTAACCCTTTGACTGTCGCAACCCCCAATCCTGAGGTGTCTCCTGGTGTCGCAAAATTTCAAAAAAAAAAAAAAAAATTATTTTTTATGAAATGATACTCTTTTTCCCGATTGTAAAGACACCAAAAAAACGAAATTTGATGGAAAACTGATGGAATTACGCTCTCGCGAAGTTAGCGACCTCTGCAATATTTACAAATCGGCGATTTCGCCCACTTTGAGCCCTATTTTCGGCTAATTCCATTATTGCAGTCAATCAAACTCATAGCTATTTCTTTAGAACTCCATTTTTTCCATCGATTGAGTACAAGAAACTGCCCATTTACCGATATCAACTACCCAATAACATGGTCAGAAATTTGCAATTTGGCCAATTTCACGAAAATTAAAAAATATGACGATTTCAAAATAAGGACCAGAATGAACAATGCAGACATTCCTGGCTCTAAAATAACATTTTCTTTGTTCATCAGCAGGTCTCCAGGCCCCTCTGATATTACTCTTGCTTTTTATTTTGAAATTTTATTCAAACAAAAAATAGAAAATTTACTGTTATGCAGACTACTGCAATACTGTAATAATTGTAAAAATTACATCAACCCATTCATGACTGCATATTAGAATGGCTATTTGGACATTTATTGGACAATGACATCATTTGTTTACTTTTGAACATCGGCAAAAATCAAACATTTCCCGTACTTTGTGCTCCATTTCCAGGTTCTTTTTATAGTAAAATTAATCAAAATCACCCCTATTTCTATAATATAGTTTCCATTCTATCAAATGAGACCAAGAAAACGAGAATACAACCACAAATACTACACGAAAATAGACCACAAAGTCAGCATTTTAATTAAAAAAAAAACGGTTGAAGTTTTTTTTTTCTCATTATGCACTGCGTGCTCCAGGATTTTTTTTATATGGCGCACACTGACCACACAGACCCATTCTCTCACATGTGGGCCTACCAGCTTTCTCCTGCCTGATTTGAAGCCGCTAGAATTTATGAGTATATACAGTATACGTCAAACACTGTACCTCGTAAACATATATATACAGTCGCGACAGTCAAGGGGTTAATAAACTTACCTTCCTTTACAAAGGCAATATTCACCCAGTCTGGCTTTAGTGGAACAAGACTGAAGATTCAAACAAGCATACTTTAATCTATGAGAATCATCTTGGACTCTATATAGATTTTTTTTTTCACAATGGCTGTTTTCCCAAAGCATCTAGAGTGACCCAAAGGAGGAAACACACTCACCATCAGTCATTCAATAACTGACTTACCGGAAATGTATAGACATCACAATTAAAAATGACCCTACAAACTTCAGCATTCATATTCATTCTTTGGTGTATGCACTCTACTTCCAACCTCTACCATCACAACATCCCCACCCATCCTTCAGAGTGGAGGCACTGTACATCCCATCTCCAGAACTTACAATATAGGGGTGTACTCTATAATGAATTACAATATATCCGGTGTGTGTTCAATTAATGGATACAATTTTAGATAAAAATCACAACTATTATTATTATTGTTTGTAAAGTGCTAAACCCATGTGGGTCAGTTGCACAAAAAGTGGTGGCAGTTAAAACCAGATGGACTACTTAAGTGTAAATGACTGACCTTTCACTATAAAGCATTTGTAGCAAGGAAAATATTATGGTTTGCATACAGCATTAAATTATATTTCACATCTCACCTTCAAGCAATTATTTTGAGCATGTAAAAAAGTTACCAAGTCCTACACTGCTGTACAGTCAAACTGACAAATTCACAAGCTTCCTAACTGGCAGGATTCAATCCAGTTTTTAATGATGGGCAGTCTGAACAGATTCGATTAAACTTTTTTTTTTTTTTTAAGTGCCTATTTTATGGGGATCATAGTGCATGATCTTAAATTAAAAACTATGGCTTTCTGATGTCCAAGTCTCTTTTTTATCTGCTCAATCTTTCCTCTGAATGTAAATATTACTCATATTAGAGCAGTAATTAGACACATCCCTGAAACAAAAAATTAATCCAAAAATGAAACAAAATTTATTATGTGGATATAATTCTAGATCCACACAACCTTTAGGAACATTATTTTACTCAGGTTCTGAACCCAAAAGGACCTCTAGGAACAACCCCTGCAAATCTGGGAGTTTGTACTGTGAGTTAGTAGAAAAATGAGTTACCTGAGTAAGTGCCACTTCTAGCATGGGTGCCAAGCTAAGCTGAAGGTGGAAGAGTGGCACTGTATCAACCAAGGCCACAGTGTTTGAGGTAGTGTCTCCACCTCTTGCTTGGGCCAACACTACACCACTCACTGCTGACTGTGGGTAGCGGGCTGCATGGAGCATCATCTTGGCCAGTGTGGTGCAGGTTAAGCTAATATCACCTGACATTTTACAAGTTTTATTCTGAAAAGTTGTACAATTTAGTACTAAATATTTGACACAAGCTCTACTATCAGATAATTCAAATATAGTGTATGCTACGTTGAGGCTATTGAATCGACAGATGGTTGCCAAAACAAACTAATACTGAACTGTATCAACAGAAATGTCATGGCCATTTATTTTCAATTTGCTTATTATATGATTAAATATATATTTTAATAGGTTTGTACAACCTACCTTATAAACTAGTTGCTAACCAATGGAAATAAGTCACTTTTGACTTTTTTGGTAATTTACACAAGTTATTTAGGCCCAGGTACACAAGTACAATTATCATAGTGTAACTTACCTAGGATAACTCCCAAAAAAAGTCAGACATATGTTACTATGTATGATAATTGTACTTGTATTCATACCTGTACCTGAGTAAACTTAATTTTCTTACACTGCCATGTCAAAAAGCTTTAACAACCTGTTCATTACATGGTCTCCCTCTCAACACACACTTCCTATATGATACATATAATGTAGGTACACTTGAGAAGTATCCAGTATAAAATAGATGCACTAAATATGAATAATTTTTTATATTCATGAGGAAGCACCAAATCCACAGGTTTTGTGATTTAGTTGTGAATCATTCCTCCTTTTTCCCGATGTACAAAAGTCCGGATCACCCTAAACACATCTGATCTCACCAGATCCTCAGGAAAACTCAGGAGTCATACAACACTAAACAGGAATACATATAATATTTAGGATGCTATACAGTATGTACACAAGTTACACACACAACCACACTTATAAATAGGGCACTGAAGAACCATTTAAATTTTTAAAGCTACCAATATGCAGTATGTGAGACAACCATCCTCAGAATTATTTTTATAAAAGTTAACTCTTTTATATATATATATAAGTTAAGGCACTAGGGATGCTTTGTAAATTAAGGACCAAGTACAGTGGTACCTCGAGTTATAAACTTAATTCATTCCAGAAGGCTGTTCGAGTGCCGATACTGAACGAATTTATTCCCATAAGCAATAATGTTAATTCGATTACATGTACAGTGGACCCCCGGTTAACGAACTTTTTTCATTCCAGTAGTATGTTCAGGTGCCAGTACTGACCGAATTTTTTCCCATAAGGAATATTGTGAAGTAGATTAGTCCATTTCAGACCCCCAAACATACATGTACAAACGCACTTACATAAATACACTTACATAATTGGTCGCATTTGGAGGGGATCGTTAAGCGGGGGTCCACTGTAGTCTGTTTCAGACCCCCAAAAATACACTTACAAAAAAACTTATAAAAATACACTTACATAATCGTTTGAGTTGGGAACTGTTCAAAACTCGAGGTACCACTGTATCAGAAATTTATACAGTGAAAAGCACATCATTTAAAAATTAAATTTGTTAATAAGGACATGACCAAAAAAGGCCTATGCAATTACTGTGAATTACTTTCATTAGGTGATACAGGTCCTCTCCCAGGATGCCACCCATACCAGTCAACTAACACCCAGATATAAGATAAATTTTATTCAGATTTTTAACCTGGAGGGTTAGCCACACAGGATAACCCAAGAAAGTCAGTGCGTCATCAAAGACTGTCTGTCTTATTTCTATCGGGGTCCTTTAATCTTGTTTCCCAGAAAGTGATCCACAACAGTCGACTAACACCCAGGTACCTACTTACTGCTAGGTAAATAGGAACAGCAGGTGTAAGGAAACATGTCCAATGTTTCTACCTGGCTGGGGATTAAACCACATATTTAGTATGGAAGGCAAAGCAAAAATTTTATTTGGAATCCCAAATGCAACTATTTAAAGGTCACAGCAGAAGTGGAAGTACATATTTTGTACACTAGAATTAACCTACAATAGCCCAATAAGATTAATGTGACCTATTTCCATCGAGTTTTGATCCAAGCAAAGGGAGTGTAGGTCCAATTCCTTGGACCTACACTCCCTCTGCTTGGATAATTTTGACCAAATAACCAATCACTTAGCTCACTTATGGCCAAACAAACGATCATTTAGACCAAACAACCAATCATATATTATTATAATAAAAAAGAAGCGCTAAGCCACAAGGGCTATACAGCTCAATCATATAGCCCACTTATTAACAACAGATCAAAACAACAGATCATTCAGACCATACTAACATTTAGACCAACCAAACAATCATTTAGACCAAACAACCAGTTATTTTTACTAAACAACCAGTCATTTAGCCAAGACAACTAATCATTTAGACCAGCTGCCCACTCACCACTACCACAACTCACATTTCCATACACACCATTCACAATTACTCCGGTCTGAACCTATTCATTTTTTCATCATTATATACACATTTGCCCACAAATAAGCATCATGTACCTAAAAAAAACTACCTACACAAGACTGGTCGAGGTAAAGACTGACATAAACAGTCAACTCAGGACTGGACGCAGGTGGGCTCTATCACCCCCTTAATAACCAGGAATAATTGTATCCCCCGGCCTTACATCTATTTTTTCTTATATTTATAATTATTAATTTCATTTTTTCATTTCTTAAGGCTAATTGAGGCTTATACACGTAATATATCTTTTGGGATTATATTAAAAAGCTAAGATATATATCGTGCTTGTGGGTATTTATTCACTTATATAACAGTTTTCTAATATTTTATTTATTATTTATTAACCGTAATATGGTTTGTTAGCTCATTATAAAATATAATGTTTAAAAGAGGTAGCTATCTTAATATATTTACTGAACTTTTGTATAAATATTTATTCTGATTTTTAAAGGGGACATGATATACACCAGCAGACCCTAAGGGACTACAAGACTAATAATTATTATGGTACCATAGGTAATGTTTATTCACATTATCATATAAAGGTTAAAACTATTCTATTTTCTATGTAATTACAAAAAAATACACTCAGGATTACTGTTTGATAAATTCACTGAGGTCGTCTACAGAAGATGAAGGCGCAAGTTTATTCAGGTATCCACAAATACATTGGAAGTTGAAGTTGGAAATTAAAGCCCCTCAAGGAAGGTTCCTTGATGTTGGTGAGGGGCTCTTGATTTAGGGAACTGGATCTGTGCTCCAGTTCCCCGAATTAAGCCTGAATGCCTTCCACATCCCTCCCAGGCGCTGTATAATCCTCCGGGTTTAGCGCTTCCCCTTGATTATAATAATAATAATGGAAATTAAAGACGAAGATGAGTCAAGGATGTTGGGAATTATTTCTTCATTCATAGAGTGGTCAGGAAGTGGAACAGTCTGGCGAGTGATGTAGTGGAGGCAGGAACCATACATAGCTTTAAGACGAGGTATGATAAAGCTCAGGGAGAGGACCTAGTAGCGTTAAGAGAGAGATAAGATTTCGTTCGGATTTTTAACCCCGGAGGGTTAGCCACCCAGGATAACCCAAGAAAGTCAGTGCGTCATCGAGGACTGTCTAACTTATTTCCATTGTGGTCCTTAATCTTGTCCCCCAGGATGCGACCCACACCAGTCGACTAACACCCAGGTACCTATTTGCTGCTAGGTGAACAGGACAACAGGTGCCTGGGTGTTAGTTGACTGGTGTGGGTCGCATCCTGGGGGATGCGACCCTTTTATTACTTTATTATTAAAATATAAGAGATAATATGTTATTATTATAATATAAAGGAGATAATATCTTATTATTATACTATAAAGGAGATATATTAAGAATAAGGTAAATTGCGTTATTTATATTTACAAGTGTGTTAGCTAAAAATATAAAAAAATAATTCTCAATCCTTTCTGTCGCTACATTCATCAGGAACACCCGTCATCGACACCATGCCCAGCCCTTCTAGGGCAGGGTAGGTGCCAGAGCCAGAGTTTGCAGCTCACAAGACTGTCATTCCCATTAGCCCCCTTGGGGCGGGGATGGCAGACCAGAGAGGCCTAGCTTTTCCCTACGAGCCCCGTGAGGGCGGGGAATGTGGCTAGGCCTGGGGACAGTTGGTCCCAAAGATGAGGGGGGTACTTGTGCCTCCTCCCATGAGAGACTTAGGTCTCAGACACTCCCTAGACAGGGAGCCAGTGCCGGGCCACCATTTGGAAAAGGCCCGGGCCGGGAGTATACCGGGGAATCTTAAAAAAAAAAAAATCATCAGGCACCTTTTGGCTCTCTTAAACTTTGGTATATCTGTGTCTAGCATTAGGAATAATATTAGGAGAGAAGTAAATAATGAAAATGATTGTTATAGGAATGCAGTTAGAAGCCTGAGTAGATCTATAACCCACTATGATAACATGAACGTAGATAAGTATGTTTATAAAGCAACATGCAATGTGAACACTGACTGATGTTGTAGTGGCCAGGCTTAGGCTTGGTTACAAGTACTGACTGATGTTATAGTGGCCAGGCTTAGGCTTGGTTACAAGTACTGACTGATGTTATAGTGGCCAGGCTTAGGCTTGGTTATTAGTACTGACTGATGTTGTAGTGGCCAGACTTAGGCTTGGTTACAAGTACTGACTGATGTTATAGTGGCCAGGCTTAGGCTTGGTTATAAGTACTGACTGATGTTGTAGTGGCCAGACTTAGGCTTGGTTACAAGTACTGACTGATGTTATAGTGGCCAGGCTTAGGCTTGGTTATAAGTACTGACTGATGTTGTAGTGGCCAGACTTAGGCTTGGTTACAAGTACTGACTGATGTTATAGTGGCCAGGCTTAGGCTTGGTTATAAGTACTGACTGATGTTGTAGTGGCCAGACTTAGGCTTGGTTACAAGTACTGACTGATGTTATAGTGGCCAGGCTTAGGCTTGGTTATAAGTACTGACTGATGTTGTAGTGGCCATTTTTAGGCTTGGTTACAAGCACTACTGACTGATGTTGTAGTGGCCAGGCTTAGGCTTTACAAATACTGACTGATGTTGTAGTGGCCAGGCTTAGGCTTGGTTACAAGTACTGACTGATGTTGTAGTGGCCATTTTTAGGCTTGGTTACAAGTACTGCTGATGTTGTAGTGGCCATTTTTAGGCTTGGTTACAAGTACTGACTGATGTTGTAGTGGCCAGGCTTAGGCTTGGTTACAAGTACTGACTGATGTTGTAGTGGCCAGGCTTAGGCTTGGTTACAAGCCTTCGATGGAGGTCACTGCCATGGTGATCCGGGTGTCATCTGCAAAGGAAGACACGGAGCTATGGCTTACATCTCTGTCTGTCAGAAATGAGGATGAGGAATAGAATGGGAGCGAGTACTGTGCCTTGTGGAACAGAACTTTTTACCATGGCTGCCTCAGGCTTTACTCTGTTAACTATTACTCTTTGTGTTCTATTTGCCAGGAAGTTGTAGATCCATCTACAAACTTTTCCCGTTATTATCACGCATTTTGTGTGCTATTACACCATAGTCACACTTGTCGAAAGCTTTTGCAAAATCTGTGTATACTACATCTGTGTTTTGTTTATCCTGTACAATATCCAGGACCTTGTTATAGTGGTCCAGTAGCTGGGACAGACAGGAGCGACCTGCTCTAAACCTGTGTTGCCCTGGGTTGTGTAATTGATGGGTATCTAGATGGGTGGCGATCTTGCTTCTTAGAACCCTCTCAAAGATTTTGATAATATGGGATGTTAGTGATATCGGTCTGTAGTTCTTTGCAATTGCTTTACTGCCACCTTTGTGGAGTGGAGCTATGTCTGCTGTTTTTAGTGTGTGTAGGATGACCCCTGTGTCCATGCTCCCTCTCCATAAAATGTTGAAGGCACGCGATAGGGGCTTCTTGCAATTCTTGATGAACTAGTACCGAACTTGCACACGAAAATCACTCACTACGAAAGCAAAAGACTTGGCAGACGATGCACCATCCCCCCAATGAAAAGCAGGGGTGTCACTAGCACGTTAAGAGACCATACAATAAGTGTCAGGGGCCCGAGACTGTTCAACTGCCTCCCAGCACACATAAGGGGGATTACCAACAGACCCCTGGCAGTCTTCAAGCTGGCACTGGACAAGCACCTAAAGTGAGTTCCGGATCAGCCGGGCTGTGGCTCGTACGTTGGTTTGCGTGCAGCCAGCAGTAACAGCCTGGTCGATCAGGCTCTGATCCACCAGGAGGCCTGGTCACAGACCGGGCCGTGGGGGCGTTGACCCCCGGAACTCTCTCCAGGTAAACTCCAGGTAAACACAGAGTTCCACGAGTCTGGGCCTGGGGCAGAGTGCATGGGCATGTCATTAATTGCCTCTTCAGAGTCTTGTGGAGTTAGAATAATATCCGAGATTTTGGGGATGACCAAATTTTGGGTTTCGTTCATAAAGAATTCATTTGGATTGTCGACCCTTAGTCTGGGCAGCGGCTCGCTGAAGTTAGTTTAATATGTTTATTATGCACCCCATACCCATCCTGTGGGCGGTAGTCAAAAGATTACAGAGGTACATAATGGGTCCAGGGACTGGGCCTCAAAGTTTTGATAGCTGAGCAAGTTACATAGGTAATGAACTCACAATTTACAAAGGTAATGAACTCACAATTTACAAAGGTAACACTGAGTCATATTGGGACTCGAGTATCTCACTTATATCTTGGCTATCATAAATAATAAAAAGGCACAATACCGTGACTGGAACAATACACAAATAACCCGCACATAAAAGAGAGAAGCTTACGACGACGTTTCGGTCCAACTCGGACCATTGACAAAGTCACTTTGTCAATGGTCCAAGTTGGACCGAAACGTCGTCGTAAGCTTCTCTCTTTTATGTGCGGGTTATTTGTGTATTGGCTATCATCTGTGTATGTCCCATCCTGCCTAAGCAGGGGCCCAATACTGGATGTTGCTTTTTCCTTAGATTTGGCATAAGAAAAGAAGTATTTTTTTTTAATTTCCTTTATGGCTTTTAGTTCTTCCTGTGATTCTTGTCTCCTGTAAGATTCTTTCAGCTTAAGTTCGATATTTGCAATTTCACTGACTAGTGCCTCCCTTCGTATTTCAGATATATTGCCCCCACTCAGCAGCTCTGTGACTGTGATGAATGGTTTGAAAAACCGACAAGTTGAAGATTGAGACACTTATGCAGCATATGGAAATCTTTATTCAGGAATAAAGATTTCCATATGCTGCATAAGTGTCTCAATCTTCAGCTCTGTGACTCTTCACCTTCGTCTGTATAGGGAACGTCTCTCTCTAGTTTACATCTTCTCTTTCTTTTCCTTAATGGAATGTGTCTTGAGCAGATCTCAAGAACCACAGAATTCATTTTTTCAAGGCAGATGTTCGGATCCGTGTTGTTTAGGATATCTTCCCAGCTTGTTTCATTTAGGACATGGTTTACCTGATACCATTGTATGTTTTTATTGAAATTGAATTTCGTGAGGAGACCTTCATGAGTGCTCACATTTTGCTGGTCCGGAGCCCTGTGCATACATATCTGCACCTCTATTATGTTGTGATCTGAGTGTACTGTCTTTGATACAGTTATATTATG